TATATCCATCATATTCAGACTAAAGGATATAGGCAAGGAGGCTGGAAGAAACAAGTGTTGCCAATCAAAATTTGCAAGAAGAAGGTGAATTCAAAATCATAGATCCAGCCATCCTCAAGGCAAGCTATCCATTGCAAATCGTTCCTGAGGTGTCATAGAGTAGGTTTGGATCATTCTTGATGATCGAAGATGCCTGAAACATGCATATGATGCATCGTCGGTTTACATATTTTGTGAAATTCATGTTTTGATTTTTAGGATGCTCTGATATAAACTAATAACTTTAACATGTTCCTGAGACAAAATAGTGCAGGTTTGATCCCTTGCATGAAGCCCATGATGCCAAAATGGTCTATCACCATTATTGAATTGATTCACATTATTTTCATTGTATCTCCTTGTACAGATCGAATTAGCCAAAAATAAAACCGTCATTGGATTCAGGAGTGTGGATTTAGGAGGATAAGGTTCTTTTGAATCTCTAACATGCACTAATTTTGCAGGTGAAGGAAATGACTAGTCGGAGAAGACGATCGGAGTTAGGGCTCTGGCGCTTCTCCGGTGCATTGGTTTTGTTTTTTTGTATATTGCTTTTGTTTTGTTATGATTAAAGATTGGAAACATGGCTCAGTTGGTGAAGGAAGCGCGCAATGAAGGAAATGGCATGGGTTTGATCCTTGCATTTTCACATTATTTTTGTTATTTTCCAGGTTAACGTGTAGGTTGCCCATATAATAAACATGTTCTATTTATTAACACCAACAGCGTGTTGGCGCAGTGGCAAGGATTGATGTTGTGAATCTTGGGGGCGTGGGTTCAACACCCACCCCATACTTTTTACCTTGTTTTCTTCTCTAACATATTTTTCTTTCCTTTTTTTATTAAATCCTAATTATTTCTTAAACAATCAATTAACCTAATTTTTTCTTAATATTAATAAACTAGGATTAGAGTTTTAATTAATAAATTTTGTCTTTTATTTTTATTAATTAATTAAATTAACAAACCATTTTTAAAAAATATTAAAATAAATTAGAGATTTAGGTTTTATTAATTATTTTTATCACTTAAAATTATTTTCTAAAACACTAAAATATTTCTCTTCTTTTTCAAAACTTTTTTTTCTCATATTTTCTTTTCATTTCGATTTTAATTCTTAGATAAAAATGTATAGGTCGTATTGTTCGATTGTAATAATTTAGGTTTATCTTCTCGCATTTTTTTCCTAATTATGTATCTGCTCCGAGATTGTAATAGTTATAAGTTTAAATTCTCACACTCTCATATTATGTAACTGCCCCAAAGCCATATAATAGCGTAGAAATTTTACTTTATGCACCTTTATTTTTTGTATACTATATAACTACTAGTAATTAGGATTGTATGGTAAGACTAATAATCGAACATAGAAAAACCCTAATCTCATGATAAATAACTAAAAAACAAACACTCTTCACACTTGCACCTCTAGGATACCCTCTCTTTTTGCCTTATAAATACATGGTCATATCCTTCGAAATTGTGATGCTTTAGGAAAAGACCCTTACGAATAAAAATCATATTCCCTCGATGACCCTTAGAAGTTGCTTATGAAAATGATCTAGTCTCTCCGATACAAATTGCTAAAGTATTCCTATATGTTTCCTTCAATGACCATTCGATGACCCTACGCATGTCCCTTCACATCCAATAAATAGGGTTACCTACCAACTAATAGTATGGATATCACCATCTCTAAAGGAGAAGGAAAAGAATAAGATAGATCTTTAGTGGGTAAGGAACTCTTAATCACCTGCTCCCAACTCTTTTCTAAAATAAACATTTTTTTCACATCACACTTTTTTCAAACAAAATATTTTCAAACACTTGGTACACATTCTTGAGGAATGATACAAGAATCACTACAAAATTGCCTTACATTGGCATTTCAAAATATTTTCAAACAAGTCACACACACAAAGCAAATTTTCAACAGTGAGCTAGCAATTAAGAGCCCGTAACTATGGATGAAAAGGATGCTAATACCTTCCCTTTTTATAACTTACCCCCCAAACTCAAAATCTATCAAAGGTCTTTCCTGTTTGTTTCACCTTTCCTAAATATTGGATAAAATAAAAGTCGGTGGAGACTCTTGTTATCCCCATATTTGGATAAAAACCAAAAAAGTCAGTTCTCCCACTGTGTTACAGAACTAACGACTTTGCTGGGGATTTATTTAAAAACAGGGGTTACCTTAGGGTTAGATCACTTTACTTGCTTTAATGGTTTGATTTACTTGCTTTACTTTAAAGGTTTTATTTGGGTTTATCTGCTTGTAAGATCCTACACCCGGATCTAGGAATTCCTTAGGTAAGTAGAAATAGATCATCAAGACTGTACAACATAGACCAATATGGTTAAAATGATGGCTACGGTTAGTGTGAATCATTGGTTTGTACTGATGTTCCTTGAGTCAGTCAAGGATAGTATTAAGCTTCTGTGTGATGTCATTAACACAAACTTACTTTTAGAACCTTAATTGACCCATCTTGGCCATTAGAAGGTAGTGAGATGGTCGGCTTTGGTGCAGTCCAAGGTTGATTGATACTAGATACTACGCTTATTGAGATTCGACTTTTGGGATGTTTTGCTGGAAAGCCAGTTGCCGTGCTAAAATAAAGTCTGTGAGAAAGATCGATAATATGAGATTCCTAGAACCCGGTTACTATTTTTAGAACAGGTTGAGTCAACTTAACTTTAACGGGGAAGGATATTTACCTATGGACTTCATGCAAGCCTTTAAATGTAGGGCTCTTATGTGACTTGTTTGTGTTTTCTATCTATCTAACACGAACATGACATCATAACATCATGACATCATATCATCATAACATCATATCATCATAACATGACATTTTTACTAACCATTTCAAGGATCTTATGGATCTTTGGTGCAAGATTATCATAAGCCAGATTCCTAGCAAGGGGCAAGAGAATTCATTTTCCTCTAACTAGATGCCGTCAAGACCAAAGTACACTCTCTTGAGTCAGAGGCTAGGATCCACTTGATATTGTGAGTTTGATTCTTATAGAAGGATGTTCAAAGATGAAAACTCAAAGTTCTTCAAGACAAAGTTGTAACCAGATTCTTTTTCTAATATTTTAATCCCGCGAGATCCTTGAAAACATTGCATATGCATCTACATACCATACATATCATTACATAACATGTATTCTCAAGACAGGTTTTCTCACCTTCTTGCTGTTTATTTCAGCAGAAAAAATGGCTCTTGAACAGACAGTCAAAGATCTCCAAGCTCAGAATATCCAATTCCAACAAACGTTCCTGAACTTAGCCAAGGGACAAGTTTCGACAATCCTAATCTCATGAGCCTCCAAAGAACCAATCAAGTCTTCCAATTTTGGGGTTTCAAGATTGTTGTATTCTTGAATAGCTACGATAATGTGATCAAAGTGAGAGGTCAACATATACATTACCTTCTCAACTATGATCTTATCAGTTATGATTTCACTGTGACTCTTCATGAGATGATGAGATTTTTCACCTTCGACAGATAGCCTACAATTTTTTCATCTTCTCCCATCTACAACAATTCATACTTCCGTCACAAAGTCTGCAATTTGACGACTTTGACTTTCTCACCTCTTTCATAGTACTTGACAAGAATATCTCATGCCTCCTCGTCAATTTAACATGAGATATCTTGTCGAATTTTTCGAATCTACCGTTGATTGAATTCAATACGCAGCCTTGCAATCGTTCTTTTTTGCCTTTTTGTGTGCGGTGTTCTGCACGTCAGTTACATCATGAGCATGCTCAAGAACTCCATTTTCGACCACTTCTAGAGTTTTATGAAAACCGAACAAGGACTTCATCTACTTTTTCTATCAGTTCCAATTTTTGTTGTCATGAATTGAAAGAGAATTCAAAATGTCATTATTACCATTCACCTTTGCAACAATTGAATGAAAAAGCGGATGATAAACACATAGTAAGTGAGAATATCCATAAATCAAATGTCTTAAGATTTTGGGTTAATATGTGGTATACAACTCATTAAAGTAAATGTAAAAAGTCCAATGTAATGATCGGTAGAATCCCTCATGATCCAATAGTGGAATTAAAGTCTGATTTTTCTAACTAAGTTGTTCAGGCGGCGTAATCAACTTATATGGATAAAAAAGCTTAGATGCTCATGCGATATGTTTCTTTGAAGGTCAATAATGACGGTACAAATAGATATGAATGAAAATACTGCACTTTAAAAGTGAAAAGATCCAATTACTTAAAATTTTAGATTAATATGTGACATTTAACTCATTTAAAACAAATATTGAAAATTCAATGTGATGATTCTTGAACCCATAACCCAATAAAAAAGATAATGTTAAATAATTAGTACGATATAAATAAACCATTTAAAGGAATGTGAAATATATTTAAATTTCAAATACCATGTAATTAGAAAAGAAAAAAACATTTCTTAAAAAAGTTGCATTTTCTTGTAAATATAAAAAGGTTGGACTCTTCAAAATGATGATGAGTGTGACTGACTACTTTGTTAAAACAAAGGAACAAAGGAGACAAGAAAAAGGGATGATATTATCAACTCTGCATTCTTCAGCCCCACATGTGGTGGAATTAAGGGATATTGTTGAGAAGCTGATTTCAAACAAAAAATGTATATAAAAAACTTAATTTGCATTCAATACTGAATCATCGTCACATTAACCATCATTGCAGCGAAAAACAAAATGCAGTGATAAATAAAAATGGCACTGTTCTATACATTACTATAGCATTTTATATTTTATTGGTTGAGACTAGTAAGCACAGGGTAGTTTATCAGAGGCGTGTCAAGTGTTTAACACGTGTCAGTGTCAAACGTCAACGTGATATTGACACATGCAATTACATAAATTATTTTTCATTTTTTTAAATTATTACAGAGGTTGACGTGTGTATTGTATGTATCAATGCTTAATAGGTAATTCAGTACCTATTTTCCGAAAAAAGAAATATCAAGGGGATTGAAGGCCTCCCATGACAGAATTGAATCCATATTATCAACCCATTGGTGTAATGAATTTTGTTGAAAGTAAGAGCATTCATCAATAGAAATGTGGCTAGTATCATCCAAAGAGACAGAAGAACTAGAAACAGAATTAGTAGTAGTACTAATGTTGGTGTCTTGGTTTATCCATGTCCCCAAGTCCAAATTTGAACATAGCATTTCAAAGTTGTTTAGAAGTTCATCACTATCATCCCGAACCACGTTATTTTCTTCTCTTTTCAATTCTTTTTCACTATCCGAGGATTTAACATTCTCTGCATTTTCTTCAATCCTTTCTGAAACATTTACTTGTAGCTTAAATTTGTCTTTGTCATCATCATCACTATCAGTTTCTTGCTTTTGCTCAATTGGTTTGAGGTTCACAGCATCCAAACCAAGGAACTTTAATTTTTTCTTGATTCTCGTGTTCCAATGGTTCTTAATTTCATTGTCTGTTCTCCCAGGAAAATGTGAAGCAATTTTTGACCACCTACAAAAGTGTAATACAAATATTTATAGCCGTATTTTAAGACTTACGTTTAAAATTGACTACCGGCTAATGCACATATTTAAAAGTTGTCATAGTTAAACTATAAAACGTCTATTGATTTTGTCATAATTAAACTCTAACCAGTTCACACTGAGCTTTCAAAAACTTAAGACAACAGCAATCAAACTGATCGCAATCAAACTGATCGCAATTTGCTAGTGCAATTTAAAACTATACAACAAGAGCATTTGAGTCTAGTGAAATTTTAGAAAGCATATAGTATACCTGTTACCAAGACGTGCATGTAGTTGAATAATTTGATCCTCTTCCATTTCAGTAAATCCACCTCTCTTAAGGTCTGGCCTAAGATAATTGATCCATCTCAATCTACAACTTTTTCCACATCTTAAAAGACCTTCACAAAAATTGCACCATCTTAAAAACACAAATTTATTTATCAAACTATGACTCACAGACACTCTGAATACAATCTCGATACTGATACGACAACATCAGTAATAATTTAAAAAAATAAATAAATTAAACGTAATCACAAATGTCAGAATAGGTATCTGAAAAACAACTTTTAGTTAAAAAATTTACCTGCAAGTTTAGGAACCACTCTCCAACAATGAATCCCATTATTCAGAATAAAACTCACAAGCTTATGATCTTCCTCAATAGTCCATGGTCCTCTCTTCAAACCAACCTTATCACAACATGGTTGTCTTCCCATTTTCTAGAATCTAGATGAAAATATCACAAGTGTAATGAGATTGAAAAAATGTGACTTTAATAGAACCTTGAAATTCAAGCAAAGATGCTGCCAGTTCATATAAACATTTAATTAAAAGCATTATGTCGTTAAGGGGGGAGATTAATGATTGGTCGGAAAGCACTTTTAGTTGAAAGCTATTAAAAAAAAAGCATGTAATTGTTTGTTATTATAAAAAAAAATGTTGGTCACTACTCACCCTTTCTTGTTATAAAGAGTCCACTAAAATCATGAAAATAAAGTACTTGTAGAGGGGAATGAACTTAAACGCTCGTTGACAATTAATTTGATTATTTTTGTCACCAAAATCTTCTTTTATTTGTACTAATTTTTTATAATAAGATTAAACTATTGAGTTTGATGAGATTCCATGGACCCTTAAAAGCTGGCCAGTTTTGTCATGGCAGGCAACCTCCAAAATTTTCATCTTTTACATAGATGCCTTCCCCATTTCTGCCTATATGTGTTCAAATTCCTACCATGGATTGGAAATTTGATATCAATTAAGTGATTAAGTTGGTGGTTAATGTATGCCATGGAAAAAGTATAGTCAAATATTAAATAAAATGTGCATTGAACTTGGATAGGGACAGTAATATGTTTGAATTAGAAAGGATGAGCCATGTTTTATTAGGTGACAAATCAATGAAATATTTAATTGAATGCACATAGTTGGATTACTAAAAATATTTGATTTTACATATATTTATTTTAGAAGTCTTATGAATGATGGTTTGTTATTAATTGATTATGTAAAAAGTTTTACTTTGAATGTGTTTGGAAATTAATCTCTTGTATTGTTTTACTATACAAAGTATTCAAGTTGATTTTGTCTTGATTTGTACCGGCATGGATGGACATGGGAATACTTAGCAGGCCATCTTATGTGGTTTTAACATCAGGTGCCTTTGAAAGTTGAAACCCAATAAATCACAATTCAAAGTTAAAATTTAACTCTTAACTTTTTGTCTTGAAATTTGAAAGATTCAATCACATCAAGAAATATGATTTGTGAGAATAAATAAAATTAATAATTAAAATAAATAATCTTCAACAAAAATAGTCTTATATAATAAAACATTTATTTAATTTGACAAGAAGAAATAAAAGATAAGAAACACAATAATTTATTTATCCAATTTAATCAAATGACATACTCTAGGAGAAAGAGTACCTCGCAAATTCACTATCCTTCTAAGAGTTATTACAAACCAGTTACAAGAATTTTTTTATCTAAGCTCTAAAAAACAAACAATATTTTCTATTCGAGTGTTTCACAATCTTTTCAACTTTCGATAATGAATCACACAAATACAATATGTTTAGAAGTATTTTTCAATCCCCTTAGATATCTTCAAGGGTTTTCCAAATTCCAAGAACACACTCTTATAAATTTACTCCAACCTCTCTAAAATTTAGGATTCTCAAACAACTCTAAAACTCTGAAGGTTGCAAAGACAAGAATGTTGAAGATACATATTTATAACAGTTGAAACCCAACTAATATTTAACGAGTCCAAACTATAACCCATTAACCAACGAATCTACAGACCAAAACAATGAAGCACAATACAAACAATCCTAGAAAACCATACACAAGTTCTGATGGACCGAACCACATGCAAGATCCGGAGCCATTGTCGCGCCGCCACCACCTGCCTCCACACTGATTTTTGGTTTATGCAATCTCAAAACGTATTTTCTTTCTCTTCATCCACTTGCTTCCAACCACTTTTCTTTTGCTTTAGTATTATAACAAGCTCAAAAGTATGGTTCCCCACCCATCTTTGACTCTATTTACTTTCGAATGCCTCATTGAATGTTCTTATTTCTAAGTTTTACAACCCTTCAGATACATTCTAAGCATAATACTCAAGGTTTGCATGATTATTCTTTTGAGATGGTACAATCTCCCTCCTTATCATATCACGAATTAAATGATACTCATTTTTTTTCAATATTGCAAGAGAAGTGCACATGTAGCGTAATAGATTAAGCGATTATTGAGCGTAATTTTAAGAAGAGAGCAACAACCTGATTTTCTGACATGCTTAGTCATGCTAGAATTGGTTGGGAACAAAGAGCGATCCAACCTCTATGGATGTGAGAAGATGTATTTAAAGATATGTTTAATTATTGGAAGTCAAATAAGGTTAAAGCAACGCAATGTGGCACATTTGAAAATGGAGTCACCAATCATAGAGCTGGAAGCATTAATATCGCCCAACATGTTGAACGAATGCTGATATTTTCACCTTATTACTTTTTTAAATTATAGGGTTAAATATGTTTTTGGTCCCTATAAATATCTCAAATTTCATTTTAATCCTTATTAAAATAATGACATGTTTTAGTCTCTATAAAATTATTATGCACGTAGTTTTAGTCCCTGTTGTTAAACCAATGTGTATTTTTGAATTATTATTTTGTAGACATGTTTAGAATGTTATAAAAAGTTTCTTGGGAAAAAATAAATTCAAAATTTTATTTCTAAGTCGAGCTTTTCATTATTTTTATCAATATCTTTTGAAATTTTAAAAAAATCATATTTAACTCTTTTCATTTTAAAAAATTCTAAAATTTGATAAAGAAACATTTTATAATATTCTAAATACGTAAGAAAAATATTATTTAAAAATTTAAAAGTTTAAGGGTAATTAAATAGTTTTTAAAATTTTAGAAAATAGCAGAGACTAAAATTGGATGAATAAAAGAATTTTAAGGACCAAAATTTATCATTTTTTAATAGGGGTTAAAAATGAAATTTAAGATATTTATAAGAATAAAAAACATATTTAACCCTAAATTATAACTTTATTTATTAAATATTTTTAGTTGAAGTTTATTGTATTAATTAGACTTAATCCAAGGGAAATCCCCATTAATGAATGAGATTCATGAGATGACTTATAAGGGAGACACAAAGAGTATTGCAACGAACGTGGTAGAAAACTCGGGTAAGAAGATATCAATATTAAATATTTCATTTAATTATTTTATTTAATTAAGTTGTCTAAACTCTATTATTTAATTTAATTTCTTTTACGTATTGTGAGTGAAATATCTTTTCTTAGATGTTTTGAATGATGTTAAAATTAGGTAATATGTAGTATTTGTACACTGAACTTGATCTCCTAACGTCTAGGTTGTATTTTCATCTTAGGACACTTATAGAACAAGTCAAAAGCATTTGAACAAGTTGAAATGGAAAAATATGCATTTTTGTAAAAGTTCATGTTTATAGTCGACTCACCTGTGGTAGGAGCCGACTCCCTCTAAAGCATTTTAGAAAAGAAAACTCTATGTTAAAATGGAGCTGATACACAAGGTCTTGGAGCCAATACACAACATTAAGGAGTCAACTCCCTCGAGTTGTGGGTCGACTCCTACTGAAAGTGTTTTTGAAAAATAATTCTCTGTCCATGATGGCTTGACTCCCAGGCATTTAGAGTCGATACATAACATGAAGGAGTCGACTCCCACGTGCTATGTCTCGACTCCAACTGAAGCATATGTCTCAAAATATTTTATGTCCATTTGGAGTAGACTCACAGGAAATATGGGTTGGCTCCCTTGCCCTTAGGAGTCGACTCCCACTTCGAATTGGTCGGCTCACACTGTTCAAAATGTCCAGTTTTATTATTTTGCAACCCTATGTTTTTTGTTTTATTCTTTCACACACTCACACATATATGTAGTCATTCATTCATCATTACTAATCATTAAAACCAAAAATATACAAATATTTTTATCATCTTCATCCTCTCTCATTGCATACATACAACAACTACATATAATCATTTTTATTGTGTGATTAAGAGATAGTTTGATAACGTCCAATTAGGATTTGGTGTAATCAATTAGGTTGAAGAGTTCTTGGGATTTCAAGATAAACCCATTTGGGTTTTTCTTCCAAGATCAATAATTGATTTGGGAGTTTTTCACAATATTGCGCAATTCGGACTCCACCAAGTGAAAGCTTTGAAGAATAAAGGTTTATGTCAAAGGTGGTATGTTAACTGGAGGATCACTTCGGTGATCTTGGGTCAAGATAAGTTTTCAATTTGGATTCATCCAAGCAAAGACTTTGAAGAACGGGGGTTCTGTCAAAGGAGTAGATGTAACCAGAGGATCAAATTTGTAGTATCGGGTTACTTGATCGAGCTCTTATCAAAGGAAGAGAAGAAGATATGATCGGCATCAAACTTAGGGTTTGGAGGGTTAGGTTTCTACTTTTTCTCTTGTAAAACCACATTTGCAAAGGTTAATTTTCATAATCTTAATTCCAAACAGAATTGGGAACAGACGTACCTATAGGGAGGCTGATTGGGGAACTTCCTAAACAAATTCTTGTCTCTCTCTCTCTCTCTCATTTACATTTATTTGCAAATTGTGAAATAATTGATTGTGCAATCAATACATAGAGATAATCTCTCTGTTTAATAATTCAAATTGTTTTGTTGAGTTCATTATAATCTATGTGATTGTAATTGGATTTACATATCAACAGAATCATAGAAAAATCTATTTTGTATCGATTACACACCAAGTGTTCAACAAATTGCTTAGATCAATTTTTGTTTGATATTTCATTGTAAATACATAACTATTATGTGATTTAATTCAAATGTGGTTCCTAAAAATATATTGATTGTCTTTCTCATCTTACGTATTCATTTTATCGATTTAACCCATATGCGATCTTTTCAATAACGGTTCGAATAGATGATTGTCGGTCCAGGTTTGTTTTCGAGCGCCATGGTTAAAGATTTTAAAACAAAATTTTTTATAATAAAATTTCATTTATGATCTATTTACCCCCTATATATTGTAGCATATCGTCTAACAAGTGGTATCACGAGCACCAGTTTATCTTGTGCTACGAAATCGCTTATTAGAAAATGGATTCTGAACCTAAAGGGGTGTATAATAAAGTGACTATTTTCAACAGAGAAAACTAT